CGAAACTTGTCCTTCTCTTTTAAATTTTCATCTGATTGCATATACGGTTGGAAAAACAAGTCCGTAGAAGGTTCATCTCCGCCCATGTTGAAGTTTGTCATGTGCGTAGGTGGTGTGTAGATTTTGTCGGTAGGAATACTTGGGATGCCATCATCGTCAGAATCGTCGTTCACCATTTCATCGAACTCTAACTCGTTATCTTCTTCTTCATCATCAACTGCATCCACCTCGGCTTGCTCATTCTCCAAAGGATCAACCTCCTGTGTCACCGGAGGCTCTACCTCATGTGTCACCGGAGGCTCTTGAAACAGAACGTACAACTCAATAGAGTCGTTTCCAGAATAGACATGGCTGGAAATCATGTTCTGGAAATCCTCGTCATCTTGAATTGCAACCTTATAAAATATGACTTGGTTGTTTCCAAAAAAGACTGGACTCTGATAAAATATCTGGGATATAGGGCCTCGTTCAAGTTTGGCCTCCAATCTTTTCTTAAAGTAGGAGAAATTTGCTTTCCCGTTTAAGAGAAATTGGACATTGTCGGTGTTTCTAAACAAAAACCCAACTGTGGGACACATGTATGTCTCACCGTTGAAATGTGCTTTGACAACAAATTGTGGTGAAGAGGCCATTGTGTAGAATTGTTTTAGGTATGAAGGTGGGAATGTTTTGGGTTTATTGATTATATGAAGGTATGAATGCTGGAATGTTTGAAGGTTAGATGACTGATTCGAAGGTTGGAAAATTTTACAGTTTATGTGAATGAATGTTATGTTCAACCAAAGGCAAAATATTTCAATTAAGTAAGTGATGCAACCCCCCAAGGCTGCCAATCGTATTACATGCATGGGCTTATGCTGCCACCTAGCCTGGCCCTATAATACACACATTAATGTTTTGTCTAAGCCTGCCACCCGTCTACTCCAATAGCCTTGCATGCAACAGAGAAAGGAATCCCAAAGGCTGTCACGTAGCCTGAGACAATGCTGTAAAACGTGACACCTCTTATTCGCCAAATGGGGTGGCGACAACATTCATTTTTGTACTATTTCGCCAAGTGATATGGCGCCTCCCTTACTGTCCAATCGTATTACATGCATGGGCTTATGCTGCCACCTAGCCTGGCCCTATAATACACACATTAATGTTTTGTCTAAGCCTGCCACCCGTCAGCTCCAATGGCCTTGCATGCAACAGAGAAAGGAATCCCAAAGGCTGTCACGTAGCCTGAGACAATGCTGTAAAACGTGACACCTCTTATTCGCCAAATGGGGTGGCGACAACATTCATTTTTGTACTATTTCGCCAAGTGAGATGGCGCCTCCCTTACTGTCCAATAATATTACATGCATGGGCTTATGCTGCCACCTAGCCTGGCCCTATTCTTCACACATAAATGTTTTGTCTAAGCCTGCCACCCGTCAGCTCCAATGGCCTTGCATGCAACAGAGAAAGGAATCCCAAAGGCTGTCACGTAGCCTGAGACAATGCTGTAAAACGTGACACCTCTTATTCGCCAAATGGGGTGGCGACAACATTCATTTTTGTACTATTTCGCCAAGTGAGATGGCGCCTCCCTTACTGTCCAATAATATTACATGCATGGGCTTATGCTGCCACCTAGCCTGGCCCTATTCTTCACACATAAATGTTTTGTCTAAGCCTGCCACCCGTCAGCTCCAATGGCCTTGCATGCAACAGAGAAAGGCATCCCAAAGGCTGTCACGTAGCCTGAGACAATGCTGTAAAACGTGACACCTCTTATTCGCCAAATGGGGTGGCGACAACATTCATTTTTGTACTATTTCGCCAAGTGAGATGGCGCCTCCCTTACTGTCCAATAATATTACATGCATGGGCTGCCACCTAGCCTGCAAGAGTGACACCTTACATTATTTGTAAATGCATGCATGCATATGTGTAACTCCCTAAGCATGCAAATGTGACACCTCGCAGGCATGCAACCACTACATCAGAATTAGTTGCCTATAAATACATACCTTATGAAACATATCTCACACCCACACAACTCTCACTCTCTCACTCTCTGCTACGAAATATTTCTTAAGTCTATCATACTCCTTATTTCTTCCTAAGTCTTTCATTCACTCAAGCGTTCTGAAGAATGGCCCTTCTAACAATGGGAGATACTCACAGAGGCACAAGGGAAAACATTGCTGCATTTGTAAGTCTCTTCTTTGGTTATACATTTTTCATACTTTAAAAAACGTGTTGTTCATCTTAATTAATCTTACTCTTGTTTAATTATGATCTCAGGATACACAAAGATTCAGAATCCGTTCGCACAAATACCTGGCCCCCGACCCTTTTATCGTCCCTTATCTGGAATATGCAGGTTTTGGACACGTGATAAAGATCTCCAACTGCACCATTGACTCCAAATTCATCCTTGCAATGTTGGAGAGGTGGAGACCGGAGACCCATACATTTCACCTACCAATAGGTGAATGTACCATCACTCTCGAAGATGTCTACATGCTACTGGGCCTCCCTATTGACGGTAAAGCGGTGAACGGGTCGGTTCAACAACCCAACTCACAGTGTGAAGAACTGTTGGGTAGGGACATGGTAGAAGGTGGTGGAGCAAGAGGGCAGGGAATACTACTCACTGACCTGAAACGACATTATGCAAGTATGGAATTAAATGAAAATTCCTCAGAAAATGACCGAGTAGTAAAAGCCCGAAAGTATATTATGATACTTTTTGGTACTTTTTTATTTCCCGAAAGTACGGGAAATAGTGTAAATTTCATGTACTTACATTTACTAACCAATTTTGATAAAACTAGAAAATTTAGTTGGGGTTCTGCAGTATTAGCCCACCTGTACAGTTCCTTGTGCAAAAACGCAGTCAAGGAAAAATGTACATTTTATGGGTGCGCATTTTTACTACAAGCCTGGGGTTGGTGGAGGATGGAGTCCTTAAACCCCATCAACAACAACACTTTTGGTTTCCCTTACGCAACAAAGTAAGTCATTAAGTTATAGCATTTATAACTATTCTTCTCTTTCCAAAATATATGCTAAAAATAACATGTTTCTCATTTCCTATAGGTACTGCGTGAGGGGTATGGATTACGGCAAGAATCCCAGATTCAATGTCGCACTCTACCGGAATCTGTTGGATCACCTAGGCCCAGATGACGTAAGTCGTAGCTTTTAACTTTTGTTCATTTTATTTATTTATACATTACTTTTGCGCTTACCTGATTTAAATTTTATCGCAGTTCGTCTGGAGACCATATTTGGGTTTGGACCATTCTCCAAATCCAGAGGATGCAGCAACTTGGACTGCAAAGACTGCACTCATTCGGTTCAACATTGTGGAGATGCACCACAGCGACCGCGTGAAGATGCAGTTCGGAATGATCCAAGAGATACCAAGTGACCCAACAGATTTGTCCCCCTGGCATCTAAAAAGGGTCGACGCCCAGTGGAATCTAACCAACTGGAAAGACTTTGCTCCAGAATGGTGTAAAATGTGGCAAAGGCGTCACCGCTACATCTTGCAATCCCCTGTTTTCCTTACTCAAGGTAACATGCGACACACCGATCAATATATGTCGTGGTACAGGTCGGTTAGTAACCCAGATATGCACGTGTCTCATCCGAGGTACTTGGTTGACCCACGCACACAATGGGCACAACCCTCGATTCCCCACCAACAAACCCAAAATCCTTCAACCTCAAACCCACCCCCAAGAAGAAACAGACCAACAAACACACAACCACATTCCCCACCACAACACAACTACAACCAAATGCCGTACTACCAACCACAGTCACCGCCAAACTACCAATACCCAGATATGCCTCAAACCCAACCACAATACCAACCCCAATACCAGCAAACCCACATACCCCATACACAATTTCAGTCTTCCACATATCCCAATATGGGGCCCTCAACATCCAGCCTTAGCCCTGATATGGGAATGTCAGAAGATTACGACCAACCCGACCAAACCTACCATCAACCACCATATCACCAAACAACCCAACATCCACAGTACCAAACACCCCAAGATCCATTTCCTTTCTACCCCCCATACTCAGACGACCAATGCTACCGACCAACCATGGAACCCCACCCACCGCCAACACGACCAAACTTCGAGGGCATGGGTAACCGACTGTACCAGAGCGGATCTTCGAGATATGGAGATCTTACTGATTTTATGGATTCGGATCGCATTGACTTCGCTGGGCCATCGACCTTGCCGCAACAGGAAACGAGACGGCACCCAGTAAGAGAAAGGCGAGGATGGGGATGCGGAACTGGGGGTCATTACCGGGTTCCTGGGGATCATTGATGTATCTTTTTTTTTTTCCAGTATTTTTTGTATCTATTTTTTTACTGTTATTTAAATGTAAAACAGTTGAATGTAATTATTTTTTTTCAAATAAAAAATCAATTTTGGTTATCTCTGTCTAATACGCAACGCGCAGGAAAGGAAAAAAAAAATTTTTTTTTTGACCTAATTTTCCACATAGGCGCCATCTCATTTGGCTTAGGGCTTGCCATTTGCCCTTAGGCGCCAAATGAGATGGCGCCTCCCTTATAAAAATAGGAGGATGCGCCAAATGAGATGGCTCCTCCTTTATGGAGCCATCTCAAACATGGTTATTTGCGTAATTTTTTCCGAAACCCAGTTATTCGCGAAATATTTTTTTAATACTTGGTTATTAATAAAAAAAATTCATAATAATGCTACTAATTCCCATTTAACAGATCAAGTCATCAACAACTATGCAGCAACTAATTGGCATGCTCTTTCATTCCAACAACCACAACACCCTTACAATACCAACAACATGCAGTTGCAGCATTACCCTTATGGTGCACAAACTCAAACTCAGAAGCTTTGGTGTAAGCAAGAACAAGATTCTGATGATCATAATACTTATACTACTACTACTGATCATCATATTCATCATCAACAGCTACAGTTAGGGAATAACAACAATAACAATAATACTCACAATTTCTTTGGTTTGCAAAATATCATGAGTATGTACTCTTCTATAGATGCATCACCTCCAATCCCGAGACCTTCAACCAGCAATGCCATCTCGCCTATAGGAATTTATAAAATGATATAAGATAACAAAATTAACAATAAAAAGGAAAAAAGAGAATGTGTGAAGAAATGAACGGTATCAAACACAAAACACATCAATACAATTAAGTGCTATAGCTTGAACAAAGTTCAATTAAGTGCATACTTTCAATTAAAATTTTAACGTTTGTCTGAAACTAAGTAACCATGAACCCAACATTACGTAAAGAGACACTGTCCTTGTTCAAATGGATGAAATTGGTTTAGATATAGTAACATTACCTGACACATCTTCCTGGCCACGTAATCGTTGGAGAACCTTTTTAGCTTCTAGCATCTTTCCTTTACTCACGAGCCATCGAGGAGACTCGGGCAAGAAGAATAATGTCAATATAAAAAAGAAGAGAGAAGGAATAGTGAGAACCCCGAGCATTACTCTCCAGCTAGGCGAGGCACTCAATGACATCACAAAAACCATACAATATGATAAAAACATTCCTCCAGAACCACTGAACTGGGGAAGTGTATTCAACGACCCCCTTATATCGGAGGGAGCAGTCTCCGATATATAAACCGGAACAAGAGTTACGGCAAGGCCAATACCAAATCCATCAAGCAGCCTTGCTAAGCACAACACATAAACATTAGGAGACTATAACATCACCAAACTACCCAAGAAATACAGCACGGATGAGATTATCAACATTGGTCTCCGACCAAGCCAATCTGAGATGGGACCAGAGCAAGTCGTAATGACAGTAGCTCCAATTAGCGACATGGCCACCACAAGCCCTTCCATAGTTGTTTGCAAAGCAAGGTCTTTCTTAATGTAAAGAATCGAACCTACAAACAAACATGAAAAATAAGCATTCAATAAGCAACTCACACCATACAATTCCTGCTGAAACACTTTGCTTGTTAAATTGGACCATACTAGAACCTATTCGAACAAACATCTTAATTAAGTGCTTATATCATATAAGTGCTTATGTACAAGCTATTTATTTCTATATGAAAAAATAAAATGAAGTTTTCACATAAGCTATAAGATGGATTCATAAGCTTATAGCTTATATTAAAACAAACTCAGAAGTGCTTATGTTAGCAGATAAACACAAATAACTGAATCCAGACATATCTTAGATCCGATTCAGCCGATACAAAAACAACAAATTGAATCATTTAACCATACAAACTAAGATCAATGATTTGAATATCAAATTCATTTGAACCTGAACCATAATTACTAATCATCTAATCTAATCCGTAAACAAATAAGCCGAATTTGAAGAAAAAAAACCTTGTAAGTTGTAATTACTATCCATCTAATTAAATCTATAAACAACCAAATTAGAAGAATAAAAGAAAAAAGCAAGAAAATTACCAGCAATGGTAGCATTATCCCAACCCTGGAGAAAATTCCCGATGGAAGCAGCAATTGCAACAAGAACCGAACCTTTCATTTTCCTTCGATTATTCTTAAACTGATTCACCTTCAAGTCACACAAATTTATAATTATACAAACAAAAAACACTATCAGAGTGAGTCAAAGAGTGAGTGAGACAGAAAAAACTGCTTTGAAAACTATAATGCATCCAACTAACAGTGTGTATGAGAAGAGAACTGTGGTAGTTGAGAATAAGACTCGTGAGGTTCAGCTTCATGGAAAATATATACATATATAATCACAATAGTAACAATAACAAGAGGTGAAAAAGTAACTTAAATCATAATCACTTAATCGTATTAACTACCTGAAAATACAGATCGAGAAAAAGCTACTTTTCAAAATCACTATTCAAATAATCACTTTTCAAATAATCAGTTTTCTGAGTTCTGAGAAGTGGTTGGTAACGATGAAGATGAAGCGGTTAAGAGGTCCAAACCCAATCTAACACAAATCACATTCTAAAATGTAAAAAAAAACACAATTAAAACCAATATGACCAAAGAAAAACTATCAAAACATCATTAAACCCTTCAGAATGCTTTTCTCTTTCTCTCTCGAAGAACAACACCACCCCCTTTTCAATTTTGAGTAAACTAGACCCAAATAAAAAAAATGAAAATTGCAAGGATACATAAAAATGGTTCATATTTCTAAACCACAAGTATCATACAAAAATCCAAGACAAAGATATTACCGACTGAAACCGTGGCAAAGCGTATGGTCAGAGGATGGTGTCGTGGATCTGGCGGTGTCGGGTAGCGGAGGCTTGGTGGGGATGAATTGATGGTCAGATTGGTGAGTTGGGTGCGGTGCAGTTGTTAAGAGGTGCGCGATTGTTGGTTGACGAGAAACTGTCTGGTTGGTGGTTGTGGAGTAGCCGGTAGTGCGGATATAGAAGTGTGGAGGTGTTACAGTTCTGTTTGGTGGTCTTGGAGGCAGAAAAGCTGCGGATTGGATAAGCAGATGATGAAGGAGCGTGAATCGGTGGTGAGTTGAAAAAAAAAGATGGAACGGTTGAATGAAGTTGTTTTGGCGGAAGCTTGTTTATGGTGAGGAGGGGAAATGATGGCGAGTTGCAGGGGAAAAGCAGTGTTGGATGACTATCGGAGGGAGTTATATCGGAGAGATGACGGAACAAAGGGAGTAATGGAGTGAGACAGGGGGAGTTTGGGAGGAGACGAATGGAGAAGAAGATGAACAGCGATATGGGTTTAATTTTGTGTTTCTGGAAATCTGATTTAGGGGTTAGGGGTTTAGAAATAAATTAACAAACCAAAGGCAGCGATTTCAAGAAGCGCTGCTAAAGGTACCCCCCCTTTAGCAGCGCTTTAGGCTTACCCCACCTTTAGCAGCGCTTTTAGATTTACACAAAGGCAGCGCTTTTAAGAAGCGCTGCTAAAGGTACCCCCCTTTAGCAGCGCTTTAGGTTTATCCCCCTTTAGCAACGCTTTTAGACTTACACCTTTAGCAGCGCTTTTTGAAAGCGCTGTCTAAAGCATACCCTTTAGCAGCGCTTTTATTAATTTTTTAATTTTTATTTTTTTTAAAACCCTATAGCAGCGCTTAGAGAGAAAAAGCGCTGCCTTTGATAAGGCCTGTCTAAAGTTTTTTTTTTTTTTGGATACCTACAGCAGCGCTTTTGCATAAGCGCTGTCTATGTAGCGGTGCCAAAACTCGTTTTTGGCGTAGTGGATGGAGATGAACCGAAGCTGTATTTCTTTTTTAGGTTTCGGCGGAGAAGGAGATTTATATGAAACTAAAAGATTTCTTTTAATTAAATAGTTTTACTAATTCATTGATTTTAATGTTTTAGTAATTAGAGAAAAATATTTAAATAATAAAATTAACACCAAATACCAGATGTCATTCCAAATGGATATATATTTAAATAAAAATATGAAAAAAAGCCACGATGTATATGACACATCACTCCTTAAGTTAACCAGACTTACTCATAAACCAAAATAATAAAATTTTATAAACACAAAAATGAAATGTGTTTTTTTACATATGCTTTTTCCAAATTCTTCCAATATAACAGAGGCAAAATAAATATTAATCTTATTTTTAATTATAATTTTCTTAAACAACGACCACAAGTTATTATATATTTTTTAAGATAGAACTTGTTATGGTATTTTTTTATATAAAAAAATGAAACTAGTAATCCTAATTTTAACCCTTGACTATTGTATCTTAAAAGAAATAAGTACACTATAACTTTTGAGTTTTGTATGCTGGGTTCGAGTTACTCGTGAATTTTAGTCACAAATTTTCCTTTTTGGCAACCTACAAATTAAACACATGGAGTATAATGCTAATACTTGATATATTATCATGTTTAGCTTAGAATCTTAGGTATTTTCCACTTTAGTTGACTTTTGCTTTTCAATATACTATCTCCTATTTTGTTTGATAAAAGAAAATCTAATATGATAAACAAAGTGATTTTATTCTCAAGATAATCATAGGATGAGAATCAGAGACCCATTACTAGAAAATAAATATATTTAAAACGTGAAGTAGAACAAGTATTCAATTTAAGTAAGTTATTGTCAAAGATATAACGGAAAAAAAATTAGATTTGAGGAATAATGCTTGTAACCAAGTGGCAAAAACTTGATTAAATGTACCAAGTAGGAATCAATAATGAACCTTTTTCTTAGCAGAATCAATAGTGTCACTATTAATAAGGTAAATTATGTTTTAGGGTTAAATGAGAAAATTAATCAAAAATATAAACATAATAGTTTAAGATTGTTATAGGACTTTCTAAACAAGTTACACAAATATTAATTACATTGAAGATTAAATTACCTATTCTTCAATATATGTTACTCTAAAAATACTTTGCTTGAAAATTGACTATTGAGCATTGTATAAGGAACAAGGCCGACTATGTGGGTGTGCGAGGAGCGCTACCACACAAGGATTTAACTTTTTAGAGCCTCAAATATGATAAATGAACTTAATATAAAGAGTTAATACTATTTTATCTCCTGTCATATAGGTGATTTTTGGTTTTGTTCTCTGTAATTTTTTTTTTGAAAAACATCCTAGCCATTTCAAAATATTAATAATTTAGTTTCTAAAGTCAAAATTCACAGGTTTTCCGCGGATTTTCTTTCGGATTTATCTGTAAATTTTGACTTTAGAGACTAAATTGTTAGTATTTTGAAATGACAAGGATGCTTTTCAAAATTTTTTTTACAGAGGCCAAAATCAAAATTCGCCTATATGGCATGAGGTAAAATGGTAATAACCCTAATATAAATTTAAAAATAAATATAATAACTTGTTAAAAGGAAAAAATGTGTGGTACCACAATAAGGGTAGGGGTGGTCAGACCTTTTAAGTATTTTCAATGATTTAGGACAAACTAACGGTGGTGTGAGACTATGTGTTGTACCCCAAAATTTTCTCTCCCATTTTATCAACATATCTCATCACAAGACTCTTGGAACTCAATATCAAGTTAGGGTTTACTCTACTCAATACACCTCCTTGCACTGTTGACCTAAATTAGGGTTTGAGTTTGCACAGGGATATTTTGACCTACAATGCCCAAAGGGACTTTCACACTTCATGTTGGACTCACAAGTTTGTCCATACCAAGTTTCAAGCCTTGATTCAAATTTTTGCCCAGTCAATTGGACAGTTGACCTAAAAATCAACTGTATTGAGGAAAAAGTCAACCATGACCAATTGACAGTCAAACCTCATGAATTTTGACCAACATCAACATTATGAACCATTTGATCAAGTTTGGATCACAATTCCACAAGAAATTTGATCAGATCACCAAAAGGGTAAAATTGTCATTTTTAGGGTTTTGACTGCACAAGGGCAATTTTTGACTGTTTGACCTAACCAATGGAAAATCAAGCTCAACCATGGACACAAGGACTCAATGAAATTGTCTTGACCCATTCAACAAGTTCAAAAGATCTCAAATGCATAGGATTGACAGATGAATTTTTCAATCAACTGATCAAAATTTGACTGTACACTGAAAAGTCAAACTTTGACTTTTTGGTCAAAATCAAGTGCCAAGATTCATTTTCCATCAAGACATGTCAAATTATGAAACTTGTTCATCAAGAATTCCAAAATTGCAAATTAGGGTTTAAAATGAAAAAAATTCATAACTTAGAAATTTTCTAAGTTATAAAATTTTCTTATTTTTTCCTAACTTTGCCCCACATTTTCACCAAGATGCAAAGGGATTCAATCAAACTTACAACATGAAAGTTGTAGTCCATCACAAAGTCTACAAATTTGATTCACAAAGTTTTCTCAAAAGAAGCTTGGATCTCAAGTTATGATTTTTGGAATAAGGGTACCTAAAACTTTTAACTTAGAGAAATTTTGCCCTAGTTTAGGCAGGATTTTGACCCATCTTCTTGGCCATTTTTCACATAGTTCCACTTAGATTTTCAAGTTGCATTTCAAATATGGATTATAGTACATATTGTAAGCTTTCCAAATTGTCCAAGAACTCCTCAAACACCTTTGTGGTTAGGGAGAATCGAATGCTTGAAGTTGGCAAAAACTCACTTTGTAACCATGGCCAATACATGTTCATATCAAGTTGAAAATCTGACCAAACTAGCTTAGTACATAATTACAGGTCTCTAAACCCTTCAACACTAAAAAATTGAATGCAAATACATTGGTTAGAGGCATTGTTCTGATCAAGGGAGCATTGTACATTGAATAATTCCATTTTGGGCATAAAGATCACACTTCCATTTTCATAAAGCATAACTTTTGCAAAGTTGTCTTTCTTGAGCTTTGAACTTCTCTCTTTATAGCAAACAAGTTCCACAAACTTAGGCAAAGGTACAAGAAGTTGGTGCATGCTTGGAGATAGCGTGTACAGGCCTATCTCATTTCACTTCAAACTTTGTTTTCAAAAACAAGTCAAATGGCCAAAAGCTCATAACTGACTCATCTGATAAAATCAACTCAAGCAAAGTTTTGAAACAAGTTTCCAACATCCTTGCAAGCCA